TAGTAGTAGTAGTAGTAGTAGTAGTAGTAGTAGTAGTAGTAGTAGTAGTAGTAGTAGTAGTAGTAGTAGTAGTATAAGTAGTAGTAGTAGTAGTAGTAGTAGTAGTAGTAGTAGTAGTAGTAGTAGAAGTCGTAGTAGTAGTAGTAGTAGTAGTAGTAGTAGTAGTAGTAGTAGTAGTAGTAGTAGTAGTAGTAGTAGTAGTAGTAGTAGTAGTAGTAGTAGTAGTAGTAGTAGTAGTAGTAGTAGTAGTAGTAGTAGTAGTTGTAGTAGTAGTATTAGTAGTAGTAGTCGTAGTAGTAGTAGTAGTAGTAGTAGTAGTAGTAGTAGTAGTAGTAGTAGTAGTAGTAGTAGTAGTAGTAGTAGTAGTAGTCGTAATCGTAGTCGTAGTAACAGTAGTCGTCGTCGGAAGAGGAGGAGGCGGAGGAGAAGAAAGAGGAGGAAAAGGAGGAGGAGAGGGGGGATGATGAGGAGGAGAAGGAGGAGGTGGAGGAGGAGGAGGAGGAGGAAGAGGAGGAGGAGGGTGGGGAGAATAGTGGGGAAGAGGAGGAGTACGAGGAGGGGGACTGGGAAGGGGACGGGGAGGAGGAATATAATGATGAGAAGAAGGAGGCGGAGGAGGAGGAGGAGGAGGAGGAGGAGGAGGAGGTGGCTGAGGAGGGGGGGAGGAGAATAATGGGGAGGAGGAGGACGGAGGAACGTGAGGAGGAGGAGGGGGTGAGGTCGAGGTCGAGGCGGACGGTGAGGAGGAGGATGAGGATGCGGATGGGGATTTTTGTTGACCTCCACGGGCCCACCACATAGTGCTAGCAACTGGCAATGCGGGACCTGCCAGCTTTGGGCAACCACAGCCAAAGAGCCCCGTGAGGGGCAAATAAAACGGGCTGTGCTGGGTGAGGCCTGCGCCCACGCCCCGTGTCCCAAAGAAAAACACAACAACCGTTCTAAAACGCAAAGCTCCAGGACCGCAGTCAGGGCCATGCCCCCGTGGCCGCACAATGCTCCGTACACGTTACCAGGGCTCAAGCCTGGACGCACCGCGCGATCGCGCAGCAGTGGAAGGCCAAAGACCAAACCAGTCAACAACGAAACGCCCACCGAACCCCGAGGGACCACCCAAGGGAGGGGCACCGACACGTGCAGCCAAGTCGCGCCCGCGAATCTTCCAGAAAAGAAAAGCCCCCCCCCCCCCCCCCGAAAGTGCCAAGCACCGACGGGATCAGAAAAGAAAAAGGAACCCGCGCCGCAAGCACGGCAGGTCTGGGATACCCAGGAGGGCACACACACCCCAAAAGGGTGGAGCGCCGAGCCGCGCCAGGCCTCAAAGTGCGGCGGGGCAAACCTGGAGCCTCCATTCGGAGGGGTTGGGGGAGAAGCACGACCGTGCATGTTCTGCCGGTGCGTGAACCAGCGCTGCCGCTTGGGCAGGTCTGCCTCCGTGCATTCCTCGAGCCAACAAAATCTGCACACGAAGCCCTTGCCCGCATTGAGCGTGGCAAGGCCCCGCCACTGGCCGTCACCTGTGCTCTTCTGGCACCTGAAGCAGGGCGGCATCCATCCTTCGGGCATGAAGATACGGCACGAAGGAGCGGTACAATGGTACCTGCCTGAATTCGAATACAATCCTGGCCAGGCTCTGCCCTTGCAGTTCGTGCACGCTGGGGGGTGCACATCATCATAGTTGGGCCTCAACAGCTTCTTTGGGACCTGCTCCGTGGCACGTGCCGAGGCAGGCATGCGTTTGGCAGCGGGGGCGGCCGAGCGTTGCGACGGAGCAGGGCCGCTAGCTGCTGAGTCCCTCTCCTGCGCTAATGCAGACACTTCTTCAGGAGGCGTAAGCGGTGAGTAGCAGTGGCCGCAAACCGTGTGCTCACACGTCTTACACCAGAAAGTGATCGAGCCACGCGGGAGACGATTGTTGCACCACTCACAGACGAACCTCCAATTCGCCTTATGTAAAAAGATTAGTGAGTGGCCCACCGAACACGTGGCTTCCCCTGCGTGGGACTTGGCCTGAGGAGCCCTGCCTCGCTCCTCGGCGCGGTGGGCCTCAACCAAGCGTGTCGGCGGCGGGCCAGCAGGAGGACGGGCCGCGTATTCTTGCTTACCAGGCCGAGGAGACGGTGAAGAAGCGACTCGACGGCGCTTCACCTCCTCGAAAGCTTCCTGAGCGCGGCGCAGCCCTTCCTTGGCGGACTTCACGAAACTACTGGACTCCTCCCTGGGCGACAGTGAGCCGTGGGAGGCCGAGCCTCCGCTGTAAGGGGGCGAGCTACTCGGCGAAGAGACTGGCCTGGCGTGGCGAATGTGGGCGCGAGACCTGCTGCGATCTCGAGCGCCTATTTCCCTGCTGGACTCAGACCGCGCTCCGAGCCAAGCAGGGGGAGGGTGAGGAGTCGCAGGTCCCGGCTTAAAATTTGCGCCTGAATTAGAAGCAATGCCAGCCGCGGTAGCACGCATAAGCTCAAGTACGCCTGGCCTCATGATTGGCTGCTCATGGTAGCCGATCCAAAGACAGAGACGCGACCTGGCAGGAACGACAACGCCATGGTCCAACCGTAGCCGGTCGGGCGGGCCGAGAGCCTCGCCGAGGTCGCCAGGCGGCGGTGGGAAAAATGGGAGCATTCCAACAGCCTTGTCGAACACATCTGGGTAAATATGGCGGCCGACTGCATTGCATACTGCCTGAACTGTCGCGCCACCTGCATCGCGTGGAAAAGAGTGCCAGGCGGCCGCCCGCTGAGGCGCAACAACATGAATACGATGTGCAGGCAGCGGTACGCCCAAGTCGCGGAGCTCACGATGGGCGCCTTGTTGTTGATCGTCACCGTTGCGACGCCGACGGCGGTCACGATCTTGTCCGTCACGAGGTGCTTCAGCTCTGGAGCGTCTGACGCGCCCAGCAGGCCCGGCGGCATATCCACCATCACGACCCCAGGACGCGAAAGCGGGGCAGGGAAGGCGACGCTGTCCAGCACCACGTCCTGCCCGAAGCCGAAGAAGCACAGCAAGAAGGCCAGCCACGAGAGCCGAAGATGGGGGCGGTGAAGCAAGACGGGTCGGCACATGAGCGCGGGGACCACGTACACCAAGGCGCTGACACCGCAACACTCCATAGACTGCCATAGATGAAGACGGAGAACGAGACGTGGTGAGGCGCTCCTCGCCGAACGCTGCCGATGCATTGTGCTCATCGATCACCTTCGAGTCGACCACCAGGAAGAGCGCGAAAGCAAGGAGCACAGACATGACTGGCGTGCGGCAAAGGAGCTCACCCACCAAGCGGGACGGGCGGAGCCCGTCGCGCCCAGTGACCGAGCACCCCTGCGTTCGCCTCGGATGAGGTGCTCAAGAAAACACAACGGAACGCTGGTCCAGCCCAGGGGGCACCCTGGACCCAGCAAAGGCTTGGGCCAGAGTGGTTCTTGAGGGATGAGGATGATGATGATGATGACGAGGAGGAGGCGGAGGCGGAGGAGGAGGAGGAGGAGAGGGAGGAGAGGGAGGACGAGGAGGATGAGGAGGATGAGGAGGGGTACGAGGAGGGGGAACTGGGCGGGGGACGGGGAGGAGGAAGAGGAGGAGGAGGAGAAGGAGGCGGAGGAGGATGAGGAGAGGCGGATGAGGAGGAGGGGGAGGAGGATGGGGAGGGGGAGGACGGATGAAGAGGAGGAGGCGAAGGAGGTCGAGGCGGAGGATGAGGAGGAGGAGGAGGAGGAGGATGAGGATGATGCTGATGAGGAGGAGGAGGCGGAGGAGGAGGAGGAAGAGGAGGGAGGAGGAGGAGGAGAGGAGGAGAGAGGAGGAGGAGGAGGGAGGGAGGAGGAGGAGGAGGATGAGGAGGGTGGGAGAGGAGGAGTACGAGGAGGGGGGGAGTGAGGGGGACGGGGAGGAGGAAGAGGAGGAGGAGGAGGAGGAGAGGAGGAGGAGGGGAGGCGAAGAGAGAGGAGGAGGAGGAGAGGAGGAGGAGGAGGAGGTGGAGGAGGATGTCGAGGTGGAGGAGGAGGAGGAGGAGGAGGAGGAGGAGGAGGAGGAGGAGGAGGCGCTGAGTCTTCCAGATTCTTGCCTGGTGGGCGCCCGCCGCCTGGGTCGTCCAAGCTTTTGCTCGGTGGGCGCCCGTGGCTGCGTGTCGCCGCCTCGTATGCCGCCACGCAGCTTTCGCGCACACTGCTTCCACCAAGCAGCATGCATGACACTGCTTCCAGCATGCAGCCTCCACATCCTCCTCCTCCTTCTTCCTCCTCCTCCTCCTTCCTCCTTCCTCTTTCCTCCCTCCTCCTCCACGGTGTGCGAACTCACCGTCTGCAGTCCATGCTGGCAACCATGACCTTCTTCCTTGTTCGCTTCCTGTGGGCTTCTGGGGGCCCAATGTGACCCCAGCATCGCTCAAGAGAGACACAACAGTGGCGCAGTAAGAGAGCGTCCAAAGAGGGCGATGACTGGGCGGAGCTGATTGGGGGCCCCTTGTTGATCGATGACATCCAAGATGGCCAGCACGGCTCCCTACCAGGGCTCCGCCAGCTCCCAAAGCGGCCTCAAGAAAACTTGAAGAACGCTCCAAGAAACTCTGAGAGCGAAAGATCCGCGACGGACTCCGAGGCTGACTCATGCCGTCTTCGTCGGCGTCGGCGTCGGCGTCGTCGCTGTCTCCTCCTCCCCCTTCTCGTCTTCGCTAATGCAGTCGTCGTCACCCCATTCCTCTCTCCTGCTCCTCCTCCTCCTCCTCCTCCTCCTCCTCCTCCTCCTCCTCCTCCTCCTGCTCCTCCTCCTCCTCCTCCTCCTCCTCCTCCTCCTCCTCCCCTTCATCCTTCTCCGCCTCCTCCTCCTCATCCTTCTACGACGGCACGCTCCGTAATTCCACTCTTGGGTATGGTCATGCCGATTCTGGGTCTCGGATTGGCGGCTGGCCCACCTCTCGGTTCCAGTGCATGCCCCGACGCTTCCATGCCAACTCGCCTAACGTTCGCTTCTGGACGGGCCGGTGGGGACACGCGAAGCGCCAGCATCTCCCCCCCCAAGAGCGCCCAAGAGCGCTCCAAGAGCGCCCCAAGAGGCGATTGTTTGGGCTCCCGAGGGGCCACGCTAACTAATGCTCGCTTCTTGTTTGATCGATGTCCCCCAAGATGACCTCAAGAGCGCTCTCCAGGCTCCCAAGAGCGCTTCAAGAGGGCCCCAAGAGGCGCCCAGGAGGCCCCAACAGGCGTCCAAGAGGCCTCCAAGATGCTCCCACGAGACCCCTAAGAGGCCCCAAGAAGCTCTCCGAGGCACCCCAGACGCTCCAAGAGGCCTCCACTGGGGAACCCTTCCTCTGTGTGCTGCCCACTTCCCTGATCGAAGAGGCAATTCCTCTGGGCATCCTTTCTGGATGGGCCGGTGGGGTTACTTTTTTCCCAACCCTCCTGCGTTGGGTACTCGTTTTGAATAGAGCACTGTGGTCTCCACCTTCCTCCTCCCGCCTCCTCCTCCCGCCTCCTCCCGCCTCCTCCTCTCTTCTCTTGCTCTCTGGTGGGGCTGCGATCTGTGAAACTGTCGCCACTTTCGAGGGCTGCTGGGGGGCCCAGCGGAGTGACGCCCTACGGGGACTCAGATTAGACCTCGCCATCTCTGGGGGGGCTGCGATCTGTGGAACTGTCGCCACTTTCGGGGGCTGCTGGGGTGCCCAGCGGAGTGACGCCCTACGGGGACTCAGATTAGACCTCGCCATCCCTGGTGGGGCTGCGATCTGTGAAACTGTCACCACTTTCGAGGGCTGCTGGGGGGGCCCAGCGGAGTGACGCCCTACGGGGACTCAGATTAGACCTCGCCATCCCTGGGGGGCTGCGATCTGTGAAACTGTCGCCACTTTCGAGGGCTGCTGGGGTGCCTAGCGGAGTGGCGCCCTACGGGGACTCAGATTAGACCTCGCCATCCCTGGGGGGCTGCGATCTGTGAAACTGTCGCCACTTTCGAGGGCCTGCTGGGGGGCCCAGCACAGTGACGCCCACGGGGACTCAAATTAGACCTCGCCATCCCTGGGGGGCTGCGATCTGTGAAACTGTCGCCACTTCGAGGCCTGCTGGGGGGCCCAGCACAGTGACGCCACGGGCGGACGCAAATTAGACCTCGCCATCCCTGGGGGCTGCGATATGTGAAACTGTCGCCACTTTCGAGGCCTGCTGGGGGGGCCGTTTTTTTTTTGAGTGGACCGCCCTTCGGAAGAAAGCAGATTAGACCTCCGCCATTTTCCCCCACCCCCCCCACTGGGCGGGGCTGCGATCCGTGACACTGTCGCCACTTTCGAGGGCTGCTGGGGGGGGCAGCGAAGTGACGTCTTACGGGGACTCAGATTAGACCTCGCCATCCCTGGGGGGCTGCGATCTGTGAAACTGTCGCCACTTTCGAGGGCTGCTGGGGGGCCCAGCGGAGTGACGCCCTACGGGGATTCAGACTAGACCTCGCCATACCTGGGGGGCTGCGATCTGTGAAACTGTCGCCACTTTCGAGGGCTGCTGGGGGGCCCAGCGGAGTGACGCCCTACGGGGATTCATATTAGACCTCGCCATCCCTGGGGGGCTGCGATCTGTGAAACTGTCGCCACTTTCGAGGCTGCTGGGGGGCCCAGCGGAGTGACGCCCTACGGGGATTCAGATTAGACCTCGCCATCCCTGGGGGGCTGCGATCTGCGAAACTGTCGCCACTTTCGAGGCCTGCTGGGGTGGGCAGCGGAGTGACGTCTTACGGGGACTCGATTAGACCTTCGCCATCCCTGGCGCCGAGGGGGCTGCGATCTGTGAAATTGTCGCCAGTTGAGGGCTTGCTGGGGCGGCCCAGCACAGTCTGCACCCGCGGCCGGATTCAAATGGGACCTCGCCATACCTGGGGGGCTGCGATCTGCAAAACTGTCGCCACTTTCGAGGCTGCTGGGGGGCCCAGCACAGTCTGTACCCCCGGCGGATTCAAATGGGGACCTCGCCAAAACCCTGGGGGCTGCGATCTGTGAAACTGTCGCCACTTTCGAGGGCTGCTGGGGGGCCCAGCACAGTCTGCACCCGCGGCGGATTTAAATGGGACCTCGCCATCCCTGGGGGGCTGCGATCTGTGAAACTGTCGCCACTTTCGAGGCCTGCTGGGGGGCCCAGCACAGTCTGCACCCGCGGCGGACTCAAATGGGACCTCGCCATCCCTGGGGGGCTGCGATCTGTGAAACTGTCGCCACTTTCGAGGCCTGCTGGGGGGCCCAGCACAGTCTGCACCCGCGGCGGACTCAAATGTGACCTCGCCATCCCTGGGGGGCTGCGATCTGCGAAACTGTCGCCACTTTCGAGGCCTGCTGGGGGGCCCAGCACAGTCTGCACCCGCGGCGGACTCAAATGTGACCTCGCCATCCCTGGGGGGCTGCGATCTGCGAAACTGTCGCCACTTTCGAGGGCCTGCTGGGGGGCCCAGCACAGTCTGCACCCGCGGCGGACTCAAATGAGACCTCGCCATCCCTGGGGGGCTGCGATCTGCGAAACTGTCGCCACTTTCGAGGGCTGCTGGGGGGCCCAGCACAGTGGGTACCCACGGCGGACTCAAATGTGACCTCGCCATCCCAGCACAGTCTGCACCCGCGGCGGACTCAAATGGACCTCGCCATCCCTGGGGGGCTGCGATCTGTGAAACTGTCGCCACTTTCGAGGCCTGCTGGGGGGCCCAGCACAGTCTGCACCCACGGCGGATTCAAATGGGACCTCGCCATCCCTGGGGGGCTGCGATCTGCGAAACTGTCGCCACTTTCGAGGCCTGCTGGCGGGGCCCCTGGGGGGCTGCGATCTGTGAAACTGTCGCCACTTTCGATGCCTGCTGGGGGGCCCAGCACAGTGGGTATCCACGGCGGATTCAAGTTAGACCTCGCCATCCCTGGGGGGCTGCGATCTGTGAAACTGTCGCCACTTTCGCGGCCTGCTGGGGGGCCCAGCACAGTGATGCCACACGCAGATTCAAATTAGACCTCGCCATCCCTGGGGGGTTGCGATCTGTGAAACTCTCGCCACTTTCGAGGCCTGCTGGCGGGGCCGAGCACAGTGACGCCTCCCAAGTAGCTCTCACGTCAAGTTGATTGTCCATACAAGTTTCGGCCAACTCCTCGTTTCCATTGATACAACTGGGTTGGGTACGTCACAGGGTAATTTGTTGTTGTTTTTTGTTCCCAACCCTCCTGCGTTGGGTTCTCGTTTTGAATAGAGCAGTGCGGTCGCGCCTCCTCCTTCTCCTCCTCCTTCCCGCCTCGT